TCTCCAATTTTCATATCCACACTGTAGAATCTATTGAGCGTATTTGAAGCATGATATCATACTAATAAATGAATTGAATATGATCAGCTCATGTAAATACTCGATAATAGTCAATGACTGCAAATACGTCCAAGTCAGCACTCAAAAGTTACAAGAAATGGAATGGACTACTGAATATTAATAAACAGTATTTAATAATATACAGAAAGGAGTGGAATAAAATAAATATGAATGAAGAGAATGTAAACGAACTTAACTGTTGAAAATTCGCGATTCGGTTTTGGTTAATGATTATTTTGAGTTTCAAATATTTGTCAGTTGTAGGAATGTTTTCCTTGTTTTGACATCTACATCCGATCCTTCTTAATTATCAATAATCCTTCCCAGGTATTCATTATCTATTCGTCATCTCAACATTAGTTTGCTTGTACGAAAAGAACTTGCGGTTCACCCGGTATTTTCATGGTGATTTGCTCACTGATACCATTTCCTTATTTCTTTCTTTTGTCATTTTAGAAAAATATTTAGAAGTTGGTGTCTGCTAGACCCCATATTTATCTAGTCACGATACAGTCTTCGTTATTCAGATTTCCATTCTTACTTGATGGTTATTGGAACGAAATGTCATTTTGACATCAGTCAGTAGACTCCTTATCAGTTTACTAATTCAAATGCTTCTGTCTTTTCATAGCATTTTCAACTATTATTATCATTATCAGTATCACAATCACCATGAACACGATCACTGCACCATTATTTTCTGGTAATTAGTATCAGTTTTATTATCCTGTTTACAGTTTTCATAACAAGCTCCACATATTCTTTATCCACAGTAACGTCGTTGTCTCTTGGTTAATTCATTCATCTATAAATTGTACTTGCATGAATATGAAAAGTATTATTAACCAGTCTTCACAAGTGAATTAAATGACTTTATACACGAAATCTCATTTGAAAATATCTTATTTATTCATATATAAGAATCTATGCGTGTGTGCAAGATTTAGGGCACACGAAATAGAGCGAATTTACCTTGTCTCAGAATGTTTATTGTCCTTGCTTTCAAAAACCTAGGTTTGGTGGAAGGCTTTCATCGTAGGGAATATAACTGACGACCAACATTTGCAATTCATTTAAATACAATCGCCGCCAGTTGCTGAGACCAAATGAAACTAATAGTCTTATAGGACCAAAAGTTTATTGATAGCTGTCACTAACAGAACTACTTGGATATGATAAAATTCGTTTTCAGAAATATTTTCAACGCTACAACCTCATAGACAGTTATTAATATACCCCGACTCTGTGAGATCACAGGATCTATGTTGTCAAAGCCTAGTGACTTAACAAATACTACTGTTGTTCTAAAACATTAAATCACTTCATAAGATGGTCAGTCAACTCTGGAAACGTCAAATACTACAGAGTATTTACCACTATTTACTGAGATGAAACAAACAGTCGGACAGACTACAACAGTGTATTAGCTAATAACCAGCATAAAAGAACTGTTAAAAAATATTGTAGAGGGTCAAGTTATTAGACATTATCTCCAACAAATCTAATGTTACAAAGTCTAGATAATAACTGGGAGTAATTAAAACAAATTGTTAGTTTGTGCTGTACTCCAAATGACTTTTAATCCAACAACAACCACCCAATGAAATTTTGATATGCCCAAACAATGACTGGTAGTGTCAGTACGTCAACTCTACTGACTTTACATATTTCATCGGATCCTAACACCTACAGTGATCAATGATGGGAATTTAATTGTATTGATCAATGCAGTAACTGGTTTAGCTTCATCACACAGTATCCGGCGAATTCTCTAGAGACTTCAAAAGTGGTAGGAAGCATCATTGAACTCTTCAACAACAACAGTTCTTAGGTTAGGGACACACTATGACATGCAATTAAACATAGGCGATTCAAGTTTAACTCAGTTCGTTAGCGATGTCTGTGTATTTGCACTTCTTCGGAATTAGTTAACAACCGTTTCAGACTGTCCACTTAGACTGTAACGTGAGTTCGGTACTCTACTTTGACCTTATTATTCGTCATTATGGGGATATTACTTCAAATGATTTTGAGGATAATGCTTTACTAGATTTTCCAGGAAAAAGATAGTTAGAGATCACGCTTAGGTTATTAGTTTATCTTTGATGGAGGTAGTGGAAGCTTTTGTTTCGTAACCTTTCAATTTTTTTTATGTATTTTAAAACACACTAATCGTTTAATAAAATGATATATTCTCGATGACGTGAACACTTATTCATAGAAAACTCATTATAATGTAATTTTCATACAATAAAACTCCTTTTGCGTGTTTCTGAACTTTATAGAATGATAAATGTCGTTGTTTCTGTAGCTTACCATGTAGAATAAGAGTCTCATAAATGAAAAGATAAGAGAGTGTATGTAATGAGTTGGTTATTTTTCTATTGAATTACATTAATAACTACATTTCATTTGAGTTTTACAGATGTACCGATCATCTTTCATCTGAGATGTTTCAAAGCCTTTTTAACTTATTGAACATTTTTAATATCAGCACCTTCTCATCCTATTTTATTAGATATTTTCGACGAAACTGAAATGTTTATAAATATTACTAGTAATTACTATTTAACAAACCACACTGCTATTAGATGGTATTCAAGCGTATTTTATGAAAGAAGCTATTTTGTTAACTATTTTATTTTACTAACATAACTGTCCATTGTTACTAGATAATTACTCCATAAAATGTATTCCACGATGGACTAGCTTCAACTGACTCATGATCTCAACTATAAAATTACTATAATATCCACACACCCCCTTCTGATATTAATCAGTATATGTTCACTGATGATTGGCTTCGAGAGGTATTTCCTAAAGTTCTAGTGAAAAGCCGTGACCAGTGGATTTCAGCCGGATCTGTTGTGAGATAGTAATTCACCTAACAACAGTGGTGAACGTGTCGCTCAATTTCGTGGATGAGTTGAAGTTAGACATTAACACCTTTGGATTCCGGCTCAGTGGTCTAGAGAAGAAGTGTTCGCGTGCGAGACTGATAAGTCCTAGGTTCGATATCTCATGAGGCAGGGTAGTGGATGTTCACTTCTGAGGAGTCATACACTAAGACGAAACGGCCATCCATTGCTTCCAGATTTTCCATGGTGGTCTAGCTTCAATTGACTCATTATCTCAACTACTAATATATATATATATATATATATATATATATATATATATATATATATATATATATATATATATATATATATATATATATATATATATATATATATATATATATATATATATATATATATATATATATATATATATATATATATTGAAAAGAGCAAGAACAAAGATTGTAGCAGAATAACATGAATTCATTTTATTTCGTCATCTGCTTACTACTTATAGTATTTAAAGATAATAATTACATAATGGGTTCAAATTGCTTACATGAGAGGGTTTATATTGAAGAAATATTCGTAAAGTATGACATGGGTGTAAATGAAATTAATGGGCTGAATATTGTAAATATATACCTAATGTGAAAGAATATTCTAGAGCATTAATTGTGACAACAGTTCAAAAGTGGGTTAGAAACAATTGATTACATAATGAATAAACATTGATAGGAATATAGTGAGTAGAGTTCAGTCGAAAGATTGTTAATTTTTTTTAAAGATAGTTGAAAAATAAAATCAATGACGTAATAAATATAAATGATAAAAAAAATTTAAGCTGCAGCGGAAGAATATTTGTCACCAAGGCAGGAAAAGATTAACAATCATCTCCTTTTGAACACATAAATCAGGCTTTTGGCGCCTGATAGCAACTGCTTCAGCAAACTTCAGAAGACTGGAGTTTGGCTGCTTACTAATAACCTTGAATGATTGTGGGATGTCAACCTTATGGTCTGTGTCAAGGAGATGTTTAGTGATTGCACTACTTAGAGTCTTTCTTTCTCTTGTTCTGAGGTTTTTTGGAACATGTTCAAAAAATCTGAGATATGCCCTCCTTTCTGTTCGGCCAATGTAGCTGCTTTGGCAGGTACATGTAAATTTATAAATACAATTGGCGGTAACATGAAAAGGATGCTTATCAACCTTTGATTGAGTTATTGAACATGTTGTTTTATACAGAATTTGAATTTTGGCCGCCGGATAGGTTCTGGCTAGCGCAGTATTGAGTCTCCTGTTGATTGTGTTAGCAACATCATCACCTTTGAAGTTAAGACTTATAGTTATTGGTTTTTTATTGACTCATGATCTCAACTATTAATACATATATATATATTATGAATTTGTTACTTTTTGAACCCATTTAACTTCAAATATCCTAAATAAAATATAAATTCCATTAATACACCAACAACCAGCAGTTGATATTCATTCTCATTTTGTTCATTTAAGAATATCTCAATCAATATAAAACTATACTATAATAAAATACATTCAATGTTAATGAATTTAGTTTGTACTCAATAATCTTTAATTTCATACCATATTCATTTCTACAGCAACAACAACAACAACAACAATAAAAATCAATCTATTTGCGAAGGATATAAAATTTTAGGATCAAAAAGTAAACCCTTTTTTTATTGTAAAGTCAACATTGAGCTTTAGTAATTTGAGAATCTTATTTATTTTATAAATATATCTTTAATAGTGAAATTATGTTTATTCTCTTCATTCAGTTCTAATATCAATATTTACATACCTTTTTTGTGCACATTGTACAACTGATCAATTATATTTTTATCCTCAGATTTAAACAAAAAGATAAATAGGATCATTTATTGCATATAGGATTAATAATAAAAAGGAATATGTTTATTTTCTAAGATATAATTACATTGATTTATTTACTTAAGAAGACCCTCTTTAAATGTGGAATGGATACAAACATATATATATATATATATATATATATATATATATATATATATATAATTGTTTCTGGAAGAATATTTTATTACTGAATAAGTATTACTTTGTATCACATACAAATTTCAACAATGAAGTTCACACATCTTTCATTGATTTGTCTTATTTCATTTGTCTTCTTTACATATGTTCAATGTGACTGTAAGTAAATTATATTCATATTACTTATCTATTTTAGTTTCTTGGGGTTCTTTGTATAAGTTAAAATGACTTAATCATCTAACTTTATATTAATTAATTGTATTAATCTAAAGAAAAAAACATTTTCATTTCACATTGAACAATGATTTCATTGTTACAAATCATATGATATGAATAAACAAAAGAATTCATTATAGTTTGATGATAATTTTATTTTATAGATTGGTTAAAATTAGACACTAACACCGTTGGATACCGAATTAGTAGTCTAAAAGTTAAACATTCGCTTGCAAGATCGATAAGTCCTTGGGTGAACATTGCTAGGCAGTACCATACTAGAACAAAACGACCATTTAATGCTTTCAGGTTTTCAGTGATGATCATCTAGGTTTATTCGACTCATGAAATCAACTCTTTTTAATTTGTTAGTATAAAAGTTTCTGAATGAAATTCGTGTGGTATAGTTTACGAGAATAAACATAATAAATTTAATAAATGAAACATTTAATTGTGAATTAAATACATAATCTATAAGATTATTATTAAACAATATTTCTAAGGTCAAAACTAATCTATCAAAAGTATAGTACTTACATCTCATATGGATCATCCAATTATTGATTATAGACTATCTAAGGTCAGATATATCTAAAAAGGATCAGCTTACAATGATCATCTTATCATGATTTTAACTTTCTTTTCTCACGTATATTTTCATCTTTAAATACCATGTAACCTTATTCTCCTTGAATAATTAAATTCAATAAGAAAATATTCAATTCAAACTGACGTGTTTCATTTAATTAAATTAAATATGATTCTTATTTGTAATGACTTAAATTGACATAGTATGAAAAAACCACACTGTAGTCTTGAATGAAAAAAATTTGTTTCCTTCATAAACTTCAACTAATTAAGAATAATAAAATTTGTAGAATAAAATGAATTCTATACATTTCAAGACTTCTCATCAGTTACAAATAATAACACAGTTATCATATTAATTTACTTAATGCGATCAAGATTGATGTACAAAACGAAACATGAAATCAGAACATCAAAAAGACTAAAAGTATCAGTTAGTAATTCACTGATGACAATGGTGGATGTGTCGGTCAATTTCGTGGATTAGTTGAAGTTAGACATTAACACCGTTGAATCCCGGCTCATTGGTCTAGTTCATTAAGCGCATGGTGCGAGACTGATAGGTCGTGGGTTTGAATCCCGTGAGGAGGGGTCGTGGGTGCGCACCGCTGTGGAGTCCCACAATAGGACGAAACGGCTGTCCAGTGCTTCCAGGTTTTCCATGGTGGTCTAGCTTCAATTGGCTCATCATCTTAACTATTGAAATAACTAAAAGTATGATGAGATTGGTGATCTCAGCTTCTTCTTTGTATAACTCCATTTTCAAAATGATTAACTAACAAGGAATAAAGTCTATACAATTTTTCCAAAAGCCATTACCAATTAGCGTTTTCAATCTGACCTATGTACATAGAAAGAAAGAGTGACAGACCTCTCATTATCATACGAAAATAATTACTGATCTAGTTTCACTGATTACATCATCTGTTGCTTTTAACTATCAATTGAATTTTATATCATATTTGAAGGCTTGATTACATAATAACTGATTTGTTTAAACAAAAAAAGACGAAAGAAGCCCATTCATTTAATGAAAAAGTAAAGACCTTTCGGTGAAGGAAATTTCCTTTTCGACAATATCATTTTCTGAAGCTGTATCATCATTCTTCTCAGTAATTTTTTACATGTACTAATCATTGGTAAAATAGAAGAACTTTACAAAATTATCAAAGATAGTCAAACTTATTCAAATGGAAGTCAATCAAAATGAAATGTTGCATGATCTAAAACTAACTGGTTAAATAAATAAATAAAAATTCTATTTTACTAAAAAACTATTTACTACATGTAAAAGAAAAACCCGGCTCACACATCCTTGTCGTGACTCCTGGATAGTGGTACTCAATCCTATGAAATAATGTCAGTGATAAACCGGGTGGTAAAGTTAGAGCTAATCACTCACTCGACCGATACCCATAAATAATTACAAATGCTACAAAGAAAAATAGCACAACTGTTACTGGACCAAAAAACGATAAAACCTAAGGCAAAAAATATCTGCAAAAACAGTTATTGAGCCCCGGTAGTTGTACCGTGCTTTGATGTAGCCACTTCTCCAGAAGGACACATATAAATACAACTATACAACTTCAGAAAATGATATTGTTTAAAAGAAAATTTCCATTGCTAAAATGTCTTTATAATTATTTGTTTATTCATTCCCTTTGATTCATAATTATCAGTATTAGTATATATTTCATTCAACATATAAACAATTATCCATCTTAATCACTATAACAAATATCATAATTTTTCTCCTTTTCCCATTTTTATGACTATCTGTCTTGCTTTAAACATTAAATTCAATTTTATTCATTAAAATAAATTAATCATACTACTATTTAAAACTTGAAGCTGTTTGTAGCTAAGGCTCATACTATTCACGTGTCATTTTAATAATGTTTGTAAATTTATTATATTTTTTCTAATCATCTTGGTAATTCATTTACTTTATTAACTGATATTAACATCAATCTGTGAATTCTCCATACTAGATACAGGCAAATGTTTAAATATTAAATCTTCATAAATGACAAGCTCTTTGTTGATATATTTCTTTTAAATCTCACATGTTATAAGACTGAGAATAAAACGAAATTTCAACTCTTCTTTCTTTTATTAAAATATAGATGATTCAATTACTGAAGAACCATGTAAACGAGTTCATACTTCATTAAAGACAAATTATCTTCATTAGTAATATAACAACAGAAAATCAAAATGAGCAAAGATGGATAGTGACTAGCAGTGGAATCTAGGATGCGCATTTCGTTCTATTTGTCACTCGTCAACTGGATGTACCTGAATCTCAGAGTTGATGTTCACTCTAAGACTTGAACCCAGTACCGTTCGCTTCAAATGCCATCGCATTCTCAAGTTTAGATAGCCACTTACTTGTACAAGGACGAAACGAGTGTCCTGAATTCCACCACTAGCCATTATCTATCTTTGTTTATAATGTTTGTTAATTAAAGCGATATCAAGGCAATACGTATAGTATCCACATATACCAGTAATCAATTTATCAGTTGCAATACCAGGTGAAAATAATAATGTTTAGTAAATGATGAATTATTTTAACGGCTTGCCTTTTCCGTTTAAAACAATAAATCTTATTTCATGACTAACAACTAGAAATAAAATCAAGAATGTTGATCACTTACAATTTTCTCGTTGAATCAAAATAGTAACGCTTAGCTTATTGTAAGTCCGTTTTCAGAAAGAATCTCCCATATAATTAAAATATTGAAAAATGTAATTTATATTAAATTCTAGTGGATGAAGAAGAGTAAGTAGTCAATGTTCATATGATATACTTAATCCATACAATTTCCATTGCTTACAATACACCATATACATATCATTCTACATCATGCATAGATACATGTTCTCATCCAACAATTCTAACATTTCATCCAACAAATCTTCTGTGTATCATTCTTCTCTTTTCATCAAAATTATCATCTTTGTTTCAATAAAGCATCATTAACTTACCTCTTTGCATAAGATTTGCTCTTTACTCTTTTAAACTAATTCAAGTATAATTTAGTTGATCATTACTTACTAATTTAATTATTCCAGTTTGATTCATGTCTACTGATCTGAATAATTTTTTACTAGTATAGGGGTTGTGGAGATTATCAAGATTTTGATTGAGATCATGAACCGATTGATGTTAGACCACTTTTGGAAACCTGAAAGCACTGTACGGCCGTTTCATCCTATTGTGGCACTCCTCTGCAGTGCGCATCCACGATCTCGATCGTGGGATTAAAACCCAATAATACTACTACTAATAATAATAACTTAATTCAAGTATTATCAGTTCAAATATCTATTTCGATATTATCGACCATTTTAGTTAAAATTCAGATATCTGAATTCCAATTGAAATGGATTGTTTTACCCCATTGTTAATAATTTCAACTGAAATTTGATCAATCTTGATTGATATTTGAGGATCGTTTGTGAATTATCTCGATATAGTCATTGTGACACAAATTGTTATAGAATAGATGGAATGTGACTAGCAGTGGAATTCAGGACACGCTTAAATGTTAATCTGGACTTAGTAGCTAAGTGGATAATGCAATGGTGTTTGAAGTAGACAGTGTTGAGCTTGAGTGTTGGGGTGAACATCAAGTATTAGATATAAGTGTATTCACCTAATGAGTCCCGATTGAGACGAAACGCTCATCCTGCATTCTACGGTTATTCACATTCCATCGGTTCTATATCAAATATACTGTTTAAAAGTTGAGAAACATAAAATGTCAGACAAAGACTGAATGAGAGAAAACTAAGAGGTTAGCATTAAATGATACTTGATGAAAATAATGAATTTAGATTTATTTGAAAGAAAAACGTGTTGGTTATAAAACTGTGTGGTAATTTAAAGAAGAAAATGCTTTTCGAATGTTCTATAGTCAATAGCTGGATACAGATACGATGGACAAAATAAATATATCTGACTTGTGTGTCACAGTAAAAACAACATAAACATCGTTCTTCTGAACGATATCATCAGCACAAACTTCAGGTTCCATGTTTTGTTTATCGAATATTCAACATGTTAGTTTAAATACTCGCTTTGTTTATTTGCTTCATAAAATCTATTCCTTCAGTTGCATAGTTTGAGTTTTAACCCGGTTACATCTGATCACATAGTATATAGAATAGGGAACTATTTATATAGCTTCAAATAAATTTTCGTTCCGTTTTAGGGAACCTGATGAAAAGTTAGTTACATGTCAAGATTAAATAACACATGGTTTCTTTTTTAAAAATCCCATCAGTACCTACTGATTGATGTTGATGAAATCAACATTTACTCAGTTAGTAACATTAGGCTTCTTTACGGCTAACATGCTGATTCCATTTTAGAGATAAAATATAAACTTTGAAAATAGAGATGAAAGTTTGTTTTAACAAAACAACAGACGTTATACAAGTAAATCATTGAATGTCTGTTCAGTAGTCAAAATATTGAACTCTCTATGAGACCTGAAATTCATGGGTTCGATATTCGTTTAGTTGGTGAATGTACACTGCTGAGAAGTATCATATTAGTGCAACACAGTTATTTGGAGATCCACGGTTTTCAACAGTTGTCTAGCTAAGTTTAATCCATGAAATAAAGTGAAAAGAAACATACATAAGAAGAACTATTAAGACTGAAGAACGTTTTCAGTAATATATACTATTCTATTGTCGACCTAGTTATGTGTATTAGATTCTATTAAATGCAATGACATTGTATGTATTCTCTAAAGTGTGCATCCTAACTTATTTTTAAAAAAAACCACTGCAATATAAAATGACGTAACTATCAAATAAACAGATTTCGTTTGTTAGTATATTGACATATTTTAATATTTACAGTGTAATATCTAAAGTGTTGACAACCAGAGTGGTTTATCTGAATAATGATAAAGTTTCATCGATAATGTGATGTACCATGTTCTACAGCTCATGTTCTACGGTCTCATTTAGTTGTAGTGAATTAAGCCTCTTTCATTGCTCTAGAGAACTAGAGAATGGAAGGTATAAAGTTCTTGAGTAGAAATACATATTTATATATGTTACTAGATTTGCATCCAGTATTTGGTACATGGTCATGTACAACCAAAACCTGTAAAGACTGTAAGCTACAAATCGGGTTTCCATTACCAACGTGTATCAGTACTGTGAAAATAAATGTTCCTGTCTTTGAGTTTCCATTGAATCCTTTTATTTTTGTACGAAAAATAATACTCACTTGTTCACTACTAGATGGTCAGTTAGTCTAGGAGAAAAATGCCAGCTAGAACTGTCACACGTTTCTTCACATACCTTATAGTAGTTATGAACAGACTGGAAGTTATACAGTGTGTTGAACATTTTTACCATTAGACTGAATCAATTTATTGACAGAATATTGGTATGAAACAATAATGTATTGTAACTGAAAAATTGTAAATCTTAATTTAATCAAAATTTCTTTATGTTTATCAATCATTCAATCTCATTAGAACACCAAAACCTGTGTAAGCATATGTAAACGAAGTTTAGTTTTATATACCGTTTTCATAGTTATAATGATGAGAATATTTAACAGATTTAGTCAATTGGACATTAGTTATGGTTACATATATATTACACACTAGCTTATTAAACATATGGCCGCACATATACAACCACTGTCAGGGATGTCCTACTCACTGCCATCTCGCAGCTGGTACGTTGTTTACGAAATTGAGAAGAGGAAAAGCGAATATCCACCACTCTAACCGAGCTGATTGGTGAATTTTGAGGATCCACCTAGGGGAGTTGAAGAACCCTTATTCCAAACCAATGGTATACATGAGCTCCAGGAACCTGAGGGAACAAATGGCGTATGAACCTACTGTTCGTCACCGGCTATCATGGAACTGCATCTCCTGACGTTGCTCCACTCCCTTATGGGTCAGACATTTAGGTCGAAGGCTCGAAGTAAGGCCCCATGTAGAAACCACCTCCTTCGGCCTGCGAACTCAATCAGTATCATAGCCCACACAAAAATCAAGTGATTTATGTGGTGCATATGTGTTTGGTGCCCACCACCTGTACCAATATTTATGTGTTCAAATAAATAAATGTAAATAAACTGTAACTAAGCTATCCACTGTAAATTAGGGCATTAAATAAATCGTGAATGTGAAGCACAATTTCTAATATACATATTCAACTTCCAAGATTGCCAGCAAATTCTCATTGATATAAATGAATTAGATTCTGTTGTAAATCAGTTAGGTTCTGTCCAACATAATTCAGCATGTTATTTCTTGTGTAGTAAACAATTATTTAAAAATTCTTAAGATTATTACTCAACCCTAAGACCAAATAACTAATCACCATGACATACAAAGTTAATAAATTACCATCATCTTTACATAAATTTGACTCCATTATTACAATGAATAAATACACTCTAACATGTTCGTCGATTTGATTTGATTTGATTTTAGTTCACATAGGAAACACCCGTAAGTTCAACATAATTCACGTAGTTAACTGAGAAATTTGTGTGCAAACGTTTTTAAAAGAAAAACATTAGATTATGCAACAAAGAAATATGTACATATAACTGACAACTATTATAAGTATAAAGCATATAAATCCATCATGTTGAAACATCGCTTTCACATGAAGAATGTTTGACAATTTTCATCACTGAGAATACATTTAATGATTCATAGTTTGCTGATTATTTGGTGTTCATTACTGGATCTATAACTATAATACAACACTTAGTCAAGCATATGAGTCCTACATAGTGCAAAGATGTTTTGCCACAATTCCTGTGTTCTGTCAATTGTTAGCTTGTTGATAATCAAACTGAACTGATTAACTGGAAGAGAGATAGAAGAAGAACTCCAACATCAGTCTACTGAATATTTACTACGATATTGTGGATAGAATCAACATTTATGTTTTCTTGGCTTGAAATCTACTATACATAGCATGCGACGTCGAAATGCATATATATATTTGTATATTGACTTTTGTATAAGTGATTAGATCGAGAAGCTCGAATAATTCTAATCTAGGCTCTATCTAGGATTTAAAAAGCGGAAATCTACGGCTAAACTATTTTGACAAGCTTTAAGTGATATTACACATACAAAATAAATTTTCATATGAGAATAACTTATAATATTAACCTTGTCGAATGAATTTCTTGAGAGGATGATAGTTCCTTAGAGCAAGTTAAATCATGGAGTCCAGTTGTGTATTTATTTACAGTTATTTGATAAAATAAATAGAAGGAATTCGCTTCATCAATGACCAGTCACAAATCTAAAGTAACAGATCGAAAATCATCTTTCTAAATACACATTTGTTAGTATCGTACAACCTGTAATCTTGAGTGAACTGGTGCTCCCTGACGGATTCGATCCCGTGTCACAGGTACACCTTGCTGACGAGTGCCGAGTAGCACGAAACCCGGATCCAGGGTTTCCTGTCGACTACCTCCAACCACCATTTAATCTCAATATATAGTGCGCGCAGTGTCGAGTCACCTAGACTGGTGGCCACATTGCAACATGGTCGATAGCATTCAGTCTGAATTAAATAACGACTTGACCCACATGACATTGATCACCACTCAGTGATCAATCAAGTGTGATTACAAACGAGACTCTCTATTCAGAAATCATACCAAGATTCATGAAAACACTAGTTTGTAGATGAAGGTGAAGTTGAAATAGTGTAAAACTGAATATTCTAACTGAATCTAATATTATTCATTTAAATAGTGTTGAAGGAAATCTATGAGATTTTGACAAACATTATTGATGTAATGCTTGTAAATAATATTGGATAGTGGCTAGCAGTGGAATCCAGTTTCAAGCGCGTTTCGTCCTATTTGGGAATCGTCAGCTGGATGTATCTGTATCTCAGAGTTGATGTTCACTCGAACTCAGTACCATTCGCTTCAAACGCCATCGCGTTATCCACTCAGCTACTGAGTCTCGATAGCCACCTGCTTGTGCAATCGGGTGAATTTCAATTCACTTGGTATTGTTTGGCTTGTATTATTAAAAATATTGAAAGATTATTGTTGAAATATACTTACAAGAAATAATCTTGAAACTTTGAAAATTTACAGAGTTTTAAGAAAAGTATTTTTGTAAGTTGATTTACAGTTTAATATCTATCAAATAATCACTGAATGATGAAAAAGTTAATCAATATTGGGAACCATTTAAACAAAATATTGTTTAAAAGAGCTAGACGAATAATGGAAAAGAAAACATTTTCAGAATGGAAGTACTGGACGGCCATTTCGTCTTAGTATAGGACTCGTCAGCAATGCAAGCCAGTATAACCATTTCTATTATTGGAACATACTGACTAATTACATCAAACAAATAATATAATCTTGATGTTATTATTTTACATAAAGTTACGGGTTATGGTCAGACTGTTGTTTCACATTTCACTGAGAGTTTAAAATATTATAATCAAAACAGTATTAGATGTAGTATAGTTTTGATTAAGAATATGGCTGTATTATAAAACGAATGAATAATACTTAAATAAGCTAAATCTTCTGGTTGATTGAAGATTTAATAGATCATTGAAGAGTCTCAACTTTGTTTGTCGCTGTTCAGTGCTCTGAACTAGATGGTTTGGTCACGGATGACTCATCATCATTCTGCACAGCATGAGCGTTTGTTTCACGTAGAAATGAGCATTTAATTTAGTCCATGAGTCTCAAATCAGTTTGTTCTGGTGGGTATCGTTGTAGCTTATGATGTCATGAACTGTCTTTGTGCTCAAGGTGACTATTTTGTTCTATTGGCCTCTTTTGAACGAATTAAACTAAATCAGTTCTAAATCGATATGACTACTCACTTCCCTAACCCATTGATCTAAGCGCTATGCGTCAAGATATTCCTCGTGATTCGTGGAGTTCCTATGGTCTAGAATTTCGACGTTATCTCAGTTCAACTTATGTCCTTAGTTGTCCGTATGCGTTGATTTCAGTGGTAGCATATCATGTCACTTCACTGACAGTTTATAATCTCGTGTAAGCAGGTGGAGAGAGCATTCACATCGTCTAATATACTGTTTATTACAGTTTCATTATCCAATGTCAGGTCTTAAATAAAACTGTCTAAATATGACAAAAGACAATTAAATGTCCTGCGTGCATATATATATATCAACGGTCTATTTTCTCTATGTACTCGTTTCACATTAACTTCCTATTCTCGACATAAAAGAATCTTTCCATCAACGTTGTTAAGGTTGTTCAGAGTGTCGTCAATGTAATATTTAGTTTCTGATAGGAATATACTGATGAAAGAAAACTACTATCAGGCAAGAGGTTAACTTCGCAAAACGTGTCGAAATTCTTAATACATTTAATAAATCGAAATATCTAATGAATAACATAATGTGAAATTTGTTTGGTTCGGTCATAATTTTATTTTGAATTCTTATTTATATACAATGAAATACATATCATAGTGTATAGTTACAGTGAACGAACATACGTTAATTCAAATGGAAACCTCCTCTACCATATTTCTTTACCTTGCGATTATAATTCCTAAACGCCTACATATTGTAGTTAAAATTGAAGCACTAATGCAGAAAATTCCTATGTCATGTCACTTTGTTAGAAGTGCACCATCATGGATGCAGTAAGTCTATTGTTCTGGATGAATCATTTTATATTTAAACAATCATTTCATTTTACATGAGAGAAAATTAAATCTTCTCATTATTGAACATACCAGTATATTGTATCTCAAGATTGACATTCTTCATAAAACAGCAGAGAAATCAATTATCCCACTCAATTCTACATCTATTTTCTATCATCTCATCGTTGTGTTCAAGAGTGACAGCGATATAAAATCAAATAATTTACGTGTATACTGAAAGTTATGTAACAATATCCTAGCAAGAACTGATTAAATGGGATAAAATTCAATCAATCTTGCTTGAAATGATTACAATGCATTCTTAGAACTGTATAAATGTTTAAAAACGAACAACACAGATTACTGAGCTCTTTTCTTCTAACAGTCGAATACTTCATGAAGACAATATCTCAAATCGAACAAAGAAATATGTGTGCTTGAATAATAAACAAGTACTACATCACGGTGAAACTCTATTGCAAGTTAATCATAACTTTACATAGTTTCAACCCTTATACACAAAATATTTATTTATTAGAAAGTGATATTGTGGTGTGAGCTACTCATATCTACACAGAGTAGGATATAACGATAGTCAGGAATAGACTGTATTTCAGTAGAAGATCAAGAGAGAAAGAAGGAATAAGAACGGAAAGCGATTGGTATTAAAATGCACGAACAATCAAATCTGAGATGATAGACTAATATTTGCAAGAGGAGCAGTCAAGTTTGAGACGACTGATTGGTTCATTTTTGCAAATTAACTATTTACGGTATGATTGTCAGATTTAAGTAAGACGTTCCGTAATTTTGTGCTCAAATATATTCCATTGTTGCCAATCGTGTTCTTGTTCATTACAATATACAGTTAAAATACTTCTGTAAATTTCTTATTTCAATAATTACACCTTTATTCATTTATTTATTTTTCAGTATACCATTTTCTATTGTTGGGTATGTCGAACTAAATATCATTTCATTATGACCGTTGTATATAAGCATATTCAACCAACGAAAACATTAATGAAGTCTCAGAAAATTTCAAATGAATAAAATGTCTCTATTTAATCATACCGTATCAGATCAGTAAAATGTAATTGATCCTTATTTGTTTTTCTTCCGAGAAATTAAATATTACTGACTTCTATCTAACATACCTGAGAAGCATCGTCGATGAACAAGGAGGTTCAGATGCAGACGTAACGGCGAGGATTGGAGTATTTCAATGCAGTGCTCAAACAGTTGATAACTGATAAGAGAGATTTCTGTCAACAGGTGGTTGAAATGACTGTGTTAAAAATTTGATTGATTGATTGATTGATTGAGTGATTGAGTTTTATCACAATGTCCTTTGTTTATAACAAAATCAGCTTATTGGTAATTCATCCAACAATGAACTAGCTAGTAGTGTAGAGTTGACAAAGTATCCTACGATTCTTATGATTTGCAAATATTATTCATCTAATGATATAGAATTAATTTCTTTCATTATCTGTTACAATACTTGACATAATCAAGAATTTCAAATTCTTCCTTGAACAAGTGATTACATTTTTCAATTTACACTAATTTTCAAGACTGATGTTCAATAGTGGTATGATAGATTGATTGATTGATTTCCAAAATATCCATGAAACAGGTCCTACTCATATTATCACAAGGGAGGGATATTGTGGAGATTTCAGTGATTTCGTGGATTGGTTGAAGTTGGATATCCATTGGATACCGACACAGTGGTGTAGAGGTTAAGCGTTATCACGAGAGACTGATAGGTCGTGGGTCGGGTTGCGCGAGTACGATCGTGAATGCTCACTACTGAGGAGTTCCATACTAGGATGAAACGGCCGTTCAGTGCTTCCTGGTTGTCTGTGGTGGTCAACCTTTAATCGACTCATGAATTCAATTAATCATATTAGTTTAGTGAGTAGTGTGTAATGTACCTGAGGATTATCCAGCAGTTAACAAAGTAACCAGCATCCAGCTAAATTATATCTAATCTTTTTCAGTGGAGGTAAACCAAATTACACCATGGCATATCTGAAACTATAGATTCAATAAACGCGTTACCCTCATTTGTCATTAAAATGAACTACCATATTTCAGTTTTCTTCCGAATAACTAGAATATTTGATCAATGAATTTTTAGAGTGGATAAAATGCCCATTTAATTTTTTAAAAATAAAACATTCTCTTATATCTCAAAAGTAAATATCCGACTCATACTTTCTTCTTTCAAAATAAAGAGCGGCATTAACATACGTTGCGTAAGTTCAAACTTTAAATGTTTACATTCATTTGTATTTTGTTCTTTTAATGATGGTTACTTGTCATGAAGTCTTCACTGATGAAACAACTATCAAGAGATATAATAAGCGTATTAATTTTATGAATAAGTTTATTTTAAAATTGAGAATTATTTCTTATTTATTTCCTTAACTGATAAGAATAACACTGAGAATAATCTGACATAGTTCTACCATTCAACTGGATTAGTAAGTGTCTCAGAGACATTCCTGGTTCACAAAGTGTTCAGTGGAGTAATGAATGATCATTTAATATACACTGGTTAATAATCAGAATGTTTCCCTTCTTCAATATGAACGACTTGATTATAGTATTCTTCTGAGAAAATCTTTTGTTTCACGTTGCTGTTTATTATATTTCTTATTCTACTTGATTTCCTTCAGATCTGTGAAGGTGTTTTGTTGTTTTAACTCCTGGAACTTCATCCCTATTCGCATTCATTAAGCGCTGTTTATTTATAAATTCACTTGAATGGATAGTCTTACTCCGCTTAATCTCTTCTTCCATTTCGAATGATAGTTTATCTTTAAAGTAAAACATTCTAAAATCTAACGGTGCTGAGTGCCTGTAGACTGTTCTGTAAATATTCCTTAAGCAAACCAAACTACTGTACACCACTAATATGGCAACAAGATTATTGTAAATGTATTTCTGACAGAGTGATAATTCGTGACAATTCTTAAAGAACATGCTTGACAAATGTTAAACTATTCACTTCTAAAAGGTTATGAAAGTTGTCATAAATTCAACTATCGTATCTTCAATTGTATTGAAGGAATCTGAATGGCACAATGCATTATACTAATTAAGTTGTGAATTTCGAATGATGATATGATAAACGATGCCCACCTTTTCACGAACTTCTAATGCTTGTGAGTTAAGGCAACATCGAGGCAATACACACAGTATGCACATATGCCGATAGCATACTGACCAATTGCAGTTCTTATTATCAATGGTAAGATTCAGGTAAACAATGCCAAGTGAAATTAAACTTCATCCCATTGCACAAGCAAACGGATATCAGGACTCAGTAGCTAAGTGGATAATGCGATGGCATTTGGAGAGAAAATTACTGGGTTTGAGTCTCAGAGCGAACATCAATTCTGAGATGCATGTGTGTCCATCTGACAAGTCCGAAATAGGACGAAACGCGCGTCAAACTGGATTCCACTGCTTGCAACGATCCACTTCTGCTTATAATACCTTATATATAGTTTCAATATATTCTACTGACACATTAAACGGAATGATATCGACAAATTTTAAAATTTCCATATTGATTGATTTTCTACGATTAAAATCAAACAAGAAAATCACCGCCAACTAACTATTACTTTTTATTCAGAATATAATCCATTTGAATTTGTAATACATCTTGAAGAGCTTCTTCAGTTTCTTGATGTAGATAACATCTAACTTCTATCGTGTCAAAAAGGAACAATGTAATGACTTTTCTATCACTAAACAAATGCATTAAACATAATTTATGACAATCACTTATGAAACGGAACTGAATATGAAAGATATTTCATATTGGTCAAAATGGTGGGTTATGTTTCTTGTAGAACTACTCCTATGAATTAAATTCATCAACTTCATATAATATAATCATATAGTCTACAACACGTATTGTAATGGAGTTGGACACGAGTGAGGGAAATCAAACATATTAGCACACAAAATTACAGAACATCTTACTAAAATACATAAGTTGCAAAATATTAATCAACTATCTCAAACTTGACTGTTCCGATTACAAATATCAGTCAATCGTTTGAGACTTCATTGTTTCTGCATTTTCATACCAAATACTTTGTGTTCTTGTTCTATCTTTCTCTCTCGATCTTCTGCTGAAATACATTATATTCCTGACTATCATTATATCCTACTCTGTGTAGATATAAGTAGCTCACACCATTGTATTACTCTACAATATTAGTTTCCATGGTTCTATAAGATTTTAAATAATCTCTGTATATTTCATTGAATCAATCATGAAATTTCACTAATACTTAATCTCCCTTTCTTTTCTCTAAAAAAATATTTTCTAGCTACCATTTTTATGGTTAAAATATGAAGAAAGATTGATTCGTTTCGAAAGAGAAACTTCAATATCGATTCATTAAACTCTATTCAAATCAAATGACATAAATTACGAATATAATTCTTGTAACAAGAAAAGCTTCATAGAGAAACAATTGCGATGATAGTTCTTTCTTTTCTTCTTTTTGTTTTGTTTCTCTTCTATCGTTTATCGTGTGTTATTTCAAATTTATGATGACAATTTTATGTACGAAACTTGAAATTGTTTCTTAGAAATTGGCTTCATTACCAAGTAATCATAATAATAGTAATAGCGTAGTGAACAAAACACGGGTGGGGACAATTGAATTGTATTTAGCACAAAATTACAGAGTTACTCCGTAAAATAGAAAATCCACATAGAAATTCGTTTATTTGCAAAATATCAATCCATCATATCAAACCGAACTGTTCCTGTTGTAATCATCAATCCATTGTCTCACATTTCATTGTTCATGAGTTTTCTTACAAATTGCATTGTGTTCCCACTCTTCGTTTCTTGATCTTCCACCATCTTCTGCTGTCAGACATCACGTTCTTTAACTCGCGTCACATACTACCTACATCAATATAAGCAGCACACACCACAATAGTTGTAATAAAAGTTGAAATGAATAAGACTTAATTAGTTAACTAGTAATGACATTGAAGTTTCATTATATAAATCATAGGTAATGTTATTTATTACTAAATGTAATAACATAATGTCAAACTTCACTGTATTTCTTGTTACTATATTACTAGAAATGAGTTCAATTGACTAGATATTTTTATCTATTTCATCGGTATCCAATGATGCTAATGTATAACCTCAGCCAGTCTCGCAGGGTGGGATCATACTAGGATTACACGGCCGTCCATGGTGGTCTAGCTTCAATTGACTCATGAATTCAATTATTAAATTACTACAATCTCCACAAAACCCCTCTCTGATGATAATCATCATATGCTCACTATTGACTGTCCCCAAGAATTATTTCTCGGAGTTCTAGTGAGAACCAGTGGCCAGTGGAGTTCAAACGGGTCTGTTATGAGATAGTTACTCACTGAAAACAATGGTGGATGGTGGCACAATTTCGTGAATTGTTGCAGGTTAGACATTAACACCGTTGGATGCCGACCGGCTCAGTGATCTAGTGGTAGCTTATATTAAGTCATCAAACATCAGAAATACAGCTTTCCTATTCAGTGGAATATAACAAAAATATATTTATTATAAACACACAACTATTTAGCGTCTACTATCTTGACAATTAGATCAGTTAAAGCTAATAGTGTTAAGCAGTATAAAACTTTGTAAATCAATCTAATACCACCGAATACAATGACTAGCTTGCAAAAGTTTTAAAAGTATCAGTTGAAATTTCGATATTTATTCAAGCATAAAACAAAGAGTAACACAACAGTCCATATGCATAATATTTGGAAAATGTTATTTGACTTTATGACATGTAAATAGTGTTACTATGATCAATGAAGTGATCAAATGAAAGTCAGTAGAGTGTTCTCATAGTTTTAACCATAATTAACAGATTACCACCTCATAATTATCCGAGTGTAATGCTAGTTAATAAGATATCTAGAATACTTTTGTTAATTATTGAGGTTAATAACATAACATATTTGTAGGAGTAGTGATCAAATGTCATCAATTTCCAGAATCTCTGTACCAGCTAAAGTATATGCATGAACAAGTTTTCGATATGATAGTCAACATTTTAACCATCAGCAGCCTGACCACCAATTAGTTACGAGGAGTATTCCCAGGGACATTTTCACAGTCATTATCAACTTCTTTTACTTTATCGTATATAACACCATACTGTCTAAATTGGGTGTCAATAATGTTATCGGGTTGCGCGCAGATAGATTTTACAACATATGAATGCTTAGCCTTAAACAAACGGTGTGTAATAAAACCTACTCTCATGTATTCATATGTCCTATTCGAGTATATTTCCTTCACAGGTTCATTTGCATTGTTCCATCTTTTGTATTAGTTAGTAGAAGATCCAAACTAGTGAAATCCTAATTCCATATCAAGTTCGGGTTAGTTTATCCCTCAACATTATCCTACACATCTGCATAGAACCGACAAGATTTTTAAGTTCTCCTCAAGTGAAAGCTACAATATTGATCTGAAGTGACTGACACAGAGTCATCTACTAACTCAATCATCAAAATAATCACAAATAACGGTACTGGTTTTACGAATACAATTTAATCTATTCTCGATAGATGAAATGTGTTGAATAGGAGAGCTTTCCAACACTTGACGGTCAATTTCCAAGTCTATTTAAACCAACTATCAAAGTGATGAAATTTCAAGCAAATCTCTAAGCGTAGAAGTTATGGGTCGTGTTCATCAAAATTCAATTATGAAGATCAACATTTGGATATATTGAATCATTGTTTATTTGTTGAATACTACGATAAATTTGATTCAAACTATGATACCAATTAGCATAATATTGACTTTATTCTCCTTGTCAGTTATTAACTATTATCAACGTTAGATGTTACATTTTAAAGACAGTAACTTTTATACCACTTGTCATATACACTGAATTCATTCAATATAATTGGAATAAATATGACCTACTTTATTTACCAATAACTTACATCTCGCATATGTAAATGTTAGTTAGTATCCGCAATTTCTCTGTAAATTAAAACACATATATCTCATTAATATAAACGGTTCACTCAAATCAAAATCATCTAGATGAGATGAATGTATATTTTAAAAAAATGAACCATCATAGTCTGTTAAATATGAGAGATGACAAATATAAGCACGGATTTTGACTTTTCTTATTGACTGCTAAACATAAAACGACTCAATTGACAAACTTTGAAATTCGAATATAATAAAGAAAGTGATGAGTTTCAAAGAACCGTCAAAATTGCAAGTATTTTCCGTTCATCATGTTTTCTAATAAATGAAATGTCGAATTTTACTAGAATGTTTGTGTATATAAAAGCATAAAATGAGTTTTGATTTCAATGTTAGTTCTGTGTGTTTCCGGCTTTTAGTTGAAAGTATATAAGTATTTCTGAAGGAGATTTAGGTACTTATATGAGCTAGGTGTATTGTTTATGCTTCAAAATTGGTATCACTTTTACTGACTACTTGACTCAAAACTATATCATGTCACAAATGAAATTAATATTAGTCACCTTATTATCATTGGTGCTTTTCCAAGGAGTAAAGACAGAGGAAAATGAAGATGGTAAGTTCATTGTTTTTACTTAGCGTGTGTTTACAAAATCTATCAAAATAAACTTATTGCAAATATAATTTATTTTAACTGAATAAACATCACTCATGTAATTGTTACGATATATGGTATCCAAGATAAACACTGATACACAAACTTCCTACAGGTAAACCCCATCCAACTATAAAATTAGAAGACTAAGTGTGGAGAAAATAGTTTAGTAGACTAAAGCGAATCACATTCACAAGCACTCATTTATACACGCAAACATGACTAGAATCTAGAAATCAACGCCATTTCTTGACCAATCACATAAACTTTTCATCATGAACATTTTGAGTGACACAACGTGGCCTTCCCATTCTACGACTCTTGACGGACTCATTATATCAGGAACCTTGATTATCGTATTTCATGTTGTAGCACATTTAGGTAGCATAGTAAATAGTGTAGTAAATGCTGGTAAATACGAAACCTGAGTACGGTTCCCCACAGACGTTGTATTCTGCTATAAAGCACAACTGACCAACGTTCACTGTATGACATGAAACCATAAAGTTTAGCCCAAATAGCAACAACACATCATAATCACTTAGGTTATCAACTTTACACACAATTCATTATGAATCAATATTGTGATTAGTCTCATAGTAATTTAATGTAACCAAAAATAAAACCAAGGATCATTCATGGTCTGATAAAACAATCTCCACAACACCTAAACTGATAATTACCATGTGCTCACTAGTGACTAGCTTCGTGAGAAAATTCTCGGAGTTCTGGTGCGAAGCCGTGACCAGTGGAGCTAATCCGTGTCGGGCGGAAACAGGTGTCTACCTCAGTACAATGGAAGATGGTTGCACAATTTCGTGAATTGGTTGAGGTTAGACATTAACAACACTGGATGCCGGCTCAGTGGTCTAATTGGTCAAGAGCCTAGCGCGAGACTGATAGATCCTGGGTTCGAATCTCGCGAGGTCCGGTATCGCGGATGCGCGATGCTGAGAAGTTTCATACTAGGACGAAACGGCCGTCCAATGCTTCCAGATTATCCGTCGTGGTCTAGCTTTAATTGACTCATGATTTCAATCAGAAAATGAAATCTTGACAAGGGATTTCTACAGTAGATACAGTCGTTGATGTACAAATTATATTCAAGAAGTAATATTCACAGAAACTCAACGAGTAAGAAACTCTGGTATATCGGACCACTTAGTTGATACATTCTAAACTTTCCGTCATTTCGATTGAAGCATGCTCAAGCAGTTCAGATATTTACTGAGTCAGCATAGATATATTTATATTTCATAGTACTTTAATGAGCCCTTTATCTGAAATATTTTACAGACAAGTCACAATTACCGATAATAAATCAAATATCTACAATGTGTTCTATCTATATTTATTCACTAATTCTGACTCATTATTTCTAAAAGAAATCATAGAATACATTAGAATCCGAAACATAGACGATCCAGAAGATTTGTCAACATGTGTAGATAACAGCAAAAACAAGAGGAAAGATGGGAAAAACAAAGAAAAAGATGATCCCAAGGAAAAACAAACAACACATGATAATGGTTCGCCCAAAAAACAATGCTAATGGTTTGTTGAATTAGAAAGAAATATGATGCGAAAACTATTGTACTCAAAATCAATTTTGTGAAATGGTTTTTAAAAAAATATATTGATAAAATTCGAAAATTTTGATTGTTATAACTTGTCAGTTGAATGCTGATTGTCTTGTCGTTTGAATGCTTACTTATTATATCTAGTCGTCGCTGATTGTTCAGTCAAAAACACTTATCAAATAAACTCGATCCCCACAACGCAAAAGCAAGAACGCAAACAGTTGGGAGACATATTAAAATTTAAAAAAATATTACAAAGAGACGAATTCTAATGGCAAGGAAAATAGGAAACAAAATGAGACACAGATAATAAAGCTTTAAAATAATAAAAAAAACATAGTTATCTCAGTGAAATTTCCATTACTTGTCGCTATCGTTGGCTGTGTGGTTCCATGTTATACTTCAATGAGAATAAATTTGTGTGCTGCTCAGGTATATAATTGAGATATCACGAGTTCACGTGATTCCTCGTCACTTTTCGCTCTTAATTTATTCCAACTCATTAATGAAACTCAATGTGTAAAACATCATTTCTTCATAGGATTCACTCTTTTGTGTGTTGCACAGTACTAGTGATCGTCAGTCAGTTTTACTTGAATGATATGTAACCAGTCCAGTGTGTTTATTCATCGAGATTATCTATCCAACATCATCTCTTTTACGTGTGAGTAAGGTTTCATCGTTTCATAACATATCGATTGCTTCACAGTGCTACTCGACAAGCGGTCCTTCCGTAGTGTACCTTCCTCTCGATGTCCGATTTTCCAGCTATATAATTAACTCGATCATTCTCTAATAGAGCTGCTTTGTCCTATCCCATGTTGTGTAATCTACATCATTGTGTTCGTTGACTCCTCAGTTCGCGTATATATTCTCATGTTTACATACATGTAACAATGTTTGTAGAGGATCTGTTTCAAAACGATGTTGTTCCCTACTATAACTTACGAACTTACTAATACACAAAGCTTGCATCGACTATTAAGTATAGTGTGTTCTATGATTATTATTATTATTATTATTATTATTATTATTATTATTTAGTAACGGTGATGTCTACAACATTTCGCGCAAACGACAAATGATTATAGTTGAGTGGCATACAGTTCACCATAATATACAGATGTTTATAACGAAGATATTGATGTATTTCGTCTTTGATGATCACCGTAAATTTGATATTTATTAATAATTTTATAAAGTGATATAGGAATCGTTGAAATGTTGTATGTTTTCTGTTTTGAATAACCTATCAATATGGTGAACTAGGAGTGATTGATCGAGGAATTCTAATTGTGATTATTCGATTTCGAATATGAATTGACGCGAAATACCAATACCAGTGAAATCTGGATGAATGCTTATTCTTTAGTCAACATGTTTGTAGTTCAATCAATTTGAGGAGTTATGTGGAAGTAAATAATAAACAGAATGGTTTACTCACTGTGATACTGAAACAGAACTGGAAATATTCTGACTTGAATATGAATACGTAAAGATAATTAGAACGGAATAGAAAATTACTACAGACTAACTATATATATTTAGTACACATTGGATTATTTAAATACAACATCACAAATGGACGTTCTACTTGTCCGGATAGCGTGTTGGATAATTTAAAGGTTATTCGAGAGGAAGCACGGAAACAACCAAATTGGTGTTCTGATAGGAATATGATCACAAGAGTGATTAATAATAACATTCTCTACGGTAGTGATGATTATCATCATGGTCATGGTGACAGTCACGGTGATGTCCGTGATGATGATGATGATGATGGTGGTGATGACGACAGTCATCGTGATGTCTGTGATGATGATGATGATGATGGTGGTGGTGATGACGACGGTGATGATGGTGATGTCCGTGATGACGACAGTGATGATGGTGATGTCGGTGATGACGACAGTGATGATGGTGATGTCGGTGATGACGACGGTGATGATGGCGACGATGTCCATGATGATGGTGTCTACGGCATCCATGGTGGCTGTGATGGCGGTGGTAATGGCCATGAAGCAATTGTGATTGCGTGGCATTTTCACCGCCAACATTCTCTAATATACTTGCATCAGTGTGATTACTTTCACTCGTGCTGTCTGTCGGATCTATTTCTTCACTTCCATATCCACTGTCAGAATCCTTCGTCACATTGTCCTGTTGCAGTGGCTCAGTTACAATGACGGTCGGTCCTATAACAAAACAAGACTTCGCGTTAGGGAATTATTGATTAATGAAATGTGTGGGAGCATGAACAAGCACAACTGACTGTGTGCAGATGTTGACCTGTTTGTTTGTTTTTTGGTGGAACGACATAACGCTCTACTGTTAACTCGTCAGGTGATCATCTGTAAGCAATAACACAAAATTCAAGAAAATGTTTGGAACACGTGTCACTCAGAACTGTCTGTCAACTGCACAGAACACTATCTCTGTGACGTCGTTTCATCGAACAATAATACACAGATGTCTGTAACGAGACACTCAACCACTACAATGCCTCACATAACGTGCATAACAAACAGTGATACTTGATGAATTGAAGCGTAATAAACGATATATTCACGTTGAGAGACTTTTCGGTCGACACATCCTCAGATATCTCAACAACACACCCACTTACCTTCACTAGCTGGAGAGACTGATAAGGCTTCGACCAGTCGGTGTTCGAAGACGAACACACTCAGTAGTAGTATGACGATGAGTTTCATTGCAATTCTGGAAGAGAGAGAAATGTTGACCTGTGAGTAGTCGGTATATCTCTCTTGGTGAGTTCATGTGTATTAGTCAACGTGAATGTAGTAGAGTAGTAATAGCATCACGTCAGTTACAGAAATTTCACCAACTTACTCTCCTCACTCTGACTGTTTATCTTCCACTACTCGACAATGTTAGTGGGAGTCGCCAATCGAAGTGTGATTTAACTGCACGTGTATTTATATGGCAATGTGGTCTATGGAAAATAGGTTTAGAAAGTCACGTAATAAATCACTCAAATCAATCATGATAATCACTTGTGTCCTAATGACCGTTGAATGTTCATACATCCATTCTGGTCACATATATTTTCTTCCGATCGTGTGGATTATCTAACATCCTTGAGCATGTGACTCACAATTCCAACTGCTTTTTCACTTTGTGAATATATTGATCACTTTTTCACGTTTTTCCAAATTTAAGAGGAACAACACAACTATACACTACACCCAGTTATCGATATACTGATGTTTCAAAACACTGATTTTTGCACACGTACAGCAGGTTTGAAATTCCTAGTGTTCCGGATTTCTAGGAACGTGACAGAACACCCTTGACAATCTCCATACAAAGTTTCAAATCAGTTCAGATTCAATCCTCTAACCAGTTTCAATTGTGTTTTGCTGTCGAATATGACGGTTTTCTGATCTCTGGGTTCGTCGATGCATTTGACGCTAACTGACCATGTTGCGATTGACGAACGTGTTTGCCAACCCTGGTTAGGTTGTTTAGTTACGCTTTCATACGTATCTGTGTCCACACGTACACACACACACACATTTGAATTGATAAATGCAGTGGGATGTCACGTTATTGTTTCAATGATGTCTAAGTGTACGCAGAATAATAGGCTTAGTCTTCTCGATCACAATCATAACTTACTGTTCTCAATTACACTCAGAGTGATCAACAACAAAATACTTCACGGTCTATCTAACTAAACATCCAATTAAATAATCACGCATTCAAAAATTCTTCATTTACAAATCAGAATAAGATAGATTAACCATATGAACCATATGCATCAGTTTACACACAAGTTTCTACTCATCTTCAGTCATAATATAATCCACACGTACAAAGTACGTCACTGAAATGCCAGTATTTTTAATTTTTGAAAATATTTAAATTATAGTACGAACTAAGAGTCCCAGAAATAACGCAATTGAATTAAGAAGTAAGACATAAGCACAAACGAATGTATTGTATTTGGAATTCGAAATGCAGCATTCAACAAGTACAAAGGTATCATTAGTTCGTTCAAACACCACATCCACTACAGCTTAAATTGGAGTCCAGGTGTTTGTAATCAATTGTACGTCTTCTTCTCAAATTCATCCTGAGTCTGTCTGACATTGTATTGGATAAGGTTTCTGTATTATCTAGAATGTGCTCATTAGTATTGGAATTAACAACCGAAATTGGAACTGACTCACCTGGTTCCTGAAATTGTATTTGATCAACATGTCGACTGTGTGTACTTAAGTCATTGATGTCTAGAATTCGCACCATCGATTTTCCGACATTCTTCAGAACATTTCTTCGATAGTATAAGACTTCTGCAGACTCCAAACATCACATATGCGACCGAAGAATTCTTCCTTTCAACAGCTTTGCTGGAGTCTCCTTCGTCACCGAGGGTATCTACTCCCCTCTCCAGCCCATTAAATGTTGAGGCGGCTATAGGATCAATAGCAGTCTTTAATGTCCTGACAAAATTCTCTGCATGGCCATTAGAACACGGATGTTTGGGAGCAGTAAACAGATGTTTGCACCCCATACCGTTCAACCAGGTAGTGACTGCATCTGCAGCAAAATGATAGCAATTATCAGTCACTAACACTATAGGAACCCCTTCTCGACTAAACAGCTTTCTTAATACTTGGATTGTGAAATTAGAATTTGGTGAAGTTGTGAAAAAACTTCAGGCCACTTTGAAAATGAATCAATAACTACTAGTGCATAGTATTTACCAAGAAACGGACCACAATAGTCAGCATGAATTCTCTGCCAGGCCTCAGACGATACTGGCCATGGCGTCCACTTCGAAGTATGATTTTTCAACTGATGACATTTCTCACAATTGTTTGCAGTACGACATATATCTGCTTTTATCTTTGGTCACCAACATGTGAGCCCTGCCAAGGACTTCATTTTCTCTACACCTAAATGACCACTATGAAGATCTTCAAGAACAGATTTATGCAATGAA